GACAACAGGCTATTTATTATCTCATCTTTTTAGACTGTGCATGTTCCTTCCCAGAATTCAGTCTGTTATAATGATATTAATAAACTTCCGGGCATATGTATGATATTATAATGATGGTATAAATAGGCCCAGGTGAAATGAAGGTCGTTATGGTCTTTACTGCTCAGGTGTGAGTGACTGGTCTAATGCAGTCAGGTCTTTTGTACCCATTTGTTTTAGGGGTAGATAGTTACAATAAAAAGAAGTTTTGGGTGGAGAGGGGAGGTCACCTGGGCGATGACCTGGAAAATTTTATATTGTTAAAATGTCTATATTACCCAAAGTCATGTATAGATTCAATGGACATATAATGTGTAAGTTTAAGGTGTACAGTGTTATTTGAATCATTTGTATATTACTATATGATTACCACCACTGTGTTAGCTAACAACTGTATCATGTATAATTATTACTTCCTTTTTGTAGTGAGAACAATTAAGATCTTGTCTTTCAGCAACTTTGAAGTTTATGACACAGTATTCTTGACTTATATTCACTATGCTGTACATTAGATCTCGGGGATTTATTTATCCACTAGTTGCAAGTGTGTACCCTTAAACAACATCTTTCCAATTCCCCACCCCCTAACCCCTGTTTCTACGAGTTCAACTTTTTTAGATTCCTTGTATAAGTGATAGACATTATTTATCTTTCTCTGTCTGACTCATCTCACTTATAATGACCTCAAGGTCCATCCATATTATCACAAACAGCAGGATTTCCTTCTTTGTCATGGCCCCAAAATATTCCATTGTATGTATATATTACCACATTTTCTTTATTTATTCATTGATCAGTGGACACTTATGGTATTTCCATATCTTGGCCATTATGAATAATACTACAGTAAACATGGGTGTGCAGACATCTTTTTGATACCTTTTTCATTTCCTTTGGATATATACCCAGAAATGGGATTGCTGGATCATATGGTAGTTCTAATTTTAATTTTTCTGGGGAACATCCATACTGTTTTTCATAGCAGCTTTACCAATTTACATTCCCACCAACAGTGTACAAGAGTTCCCTTTTCTCCATATCCTCGTCAATACTTATCTCTTATTTTCTTGATGATGGTTATTCTAAGAGGTGTGAGGTGATATCTTATTGTGGTATTGATTTGCATTTCTCTGATGATTAGTGAATTTGAACATTTTTTATGAACCTGTTGTCCACCTGTACGTACTCTTTGGAGAAATGTCTGTATAGTTCCTCTGCAGTTGTTTAATTTGGATTGTTGTTTTTGTTATCGAGTTGTATGAGTTCTTTATATATTTTGGATATTCATTCCTTATCCGATACATGGTTTGCAAATATTTTCTCTCATTCAGTAGGTTACTTTTTCATTTTGTAGATGGTTTCTTTTGCAGTATAGAAGCTTTGATGTAGTCCTAAGTGTTGATTTGACTTTTGTTGCTTGTGCTTTTGGCATCATATCTAAAAAATAATTGCCAAGACCAATGTCAAAGAGCTGCTGCTTCTGGGATTTTGTGATATTAGATCTTATGTTTGTTTTTAATCCACTTCAAGTTCATTTTTGTCACTTTTTTTTGTTTGCATGTGTTTATCCAGTTTTCCCAACACCATTTGTTGAAGAGACTGTGCTTTCCCTATTGAGTATTTGCAGCTCTCTTGTGAAATATTAGTTGACTGTGTATGTGGGGGTTTATTTCTGGGCTTTCAATTCTATTCTGCTAGTCTATGTATCTGTATTTATGCCAGTATCATACTGTTTTGATTACTATAGCTTTGTAGTGTAGTTTGAAGTCAGGACTTAAGATGCTTTCAGCTTTGTTCTTTTTTCTCAGGATTGCTTTGGCTACTTGGGGTCTTTTATGGTACCATACAAATTTTAGGACTTTTTTTTTTTAATTTTAAAAATTTTATTGGGGAATAGCCATGGTCATTGGTTACACATTGCTTTTATGCTACAATGGCATCGTTGACTCTTTTTTTTAAAGATTTTATTAGGGAATTGGGGGAGGGGAATAGCATTGGGGAATCAGGGAAGGGGAACAGACAAGTTGCTATTCTTTTGTTCTTCAATTTAGTTGTGGAGGATGTTGCTTCACTGGCCCATGTTGGTATTATCATTGCGCTCTTCCNTGTAAATATCTTTTTGTTTTCCGATGGTCTTAGGCGACCCCTGTGAAAGGGTCGTTCGACCCCCAAAGGGGTCGCAACCCACAGGTTGAGAACCGCTGTCCTAGAGTAATTTTTTGGTCATGACAGTTTAAGTGACCCATTTGATGGACTCATGTCATGCTTTCAGAAGACCAGCAGATGGAGCACTACGCAATGTATTAATATTTACTGTACTGTTTTTGAGAAGATGGTCTAGTTTTTGTATGGCTCAGTACAAAAGGACTTTAGCTTTAGTTTTAATCCTGAGTTCGATCTTAGATATGCTATTTATTAATGGCTCTGAGCAGGTTATTTAATTTCTGTGCATTTTTTGCCCATGTATGAAGACTGCTCAGATACTCCCTTTTAGATTTGTATTGTCAGTCCACTTAGTGGCCTAGCAAAGAGGAAGCATTCCAAGTGGAAAAAAGTGGGGGAAAGGTCACAGAATTAAATTAGTGTAAAATTAAAAAATGTATCTAACGCCAAATCCTACCACTTAAACCAAAAAAACACCCGTGAATCCAGAAGGATAAAATAATGTCTGCCCCTGCCCTTACTTGCATATCCTGAATGAGGCTGGTTGATGGCACTTTATAGTAGAATCATTAAGAAATTCTACTTATCTGGAAGTTGGCTGGAAGAACAATGTTTGAGGTGGCATAAGTTTTTAGAAACCAAACATTTGACAGAGTCCTGATGCTGATTTTATTTTTTGCATTGTTTACTCTGTTAAAATTCTGAAATTTTGCCCCAGACTAACTGAAAAGAAAAAGAGAAAGATTGAAATTGATCATTTGCAGGACCTTTGGGTATACTCTCTTGAGCTCATGGCCTGAATATGTTAAGCTGTTACCCATTTTTACCTCTTGGTAAAAATGGCTTATAATGTTGCTTAATTTAGAAAGGATTAAGAAGTTTAGCCTTAGTCTTTGGGTCCTTAAATGACAGATAAATAAGGTGATCTAATCTTAGTTTTTTACTCTTAAGGAAAAAAAGTGTTGGTTTTGGAAAGAATAGCCATGCATGCTTTGATTCAAAGATTCTGTTAATATAAGGGAAGGCCTTTTGAAAGAATGAGCTTATTACATAAAAAGCTTCTTTTTATTTTAGCATGATTTATACTTTTTTCTTTTTAAGTTTGTATTTAAAAAAACTTCAAATCTCTGGCAACACTGCAAGAATAGCAATAAGCACCCATATATCTTTAACTTAGATGAACTGTTGTTAATGTTTTGCCACATTTGCTTTGTTTCTCTCTCTGTATGTGTGTTTATGTGTGTGTTTGTGTATAATTTTTCCCCAGAGCATTTGAAAGTAAGTTGCAGGCATCATGGCACTGAACCCCATGAGTATGCATCTCTTAGGAATGTGGACTTTCTCCAACATATAATCACAACACAATTAATCACGCTTGGGACATTTATCATTGATAGAATACTATTATTTAATATGCAGTCCATATTCAAGTTTCTCCAGTTGTCCCAATAATGCCCTTTATAGCAACCTTTTTTATTTTAATTAATTTAATCTCTGATCACACATAATGTGTTTCGTTATGTCATTAATCTCCTTTAATCAAGAAGCTGTCTCTAGCTTATTTTTTTTACGATGTTGAGAATTTTGATGTCACTCTTTTGTAGAATGTCCCTTGGATTTGCTGCTTTATTGCTTCTGCATGACTAGACTGAGGTTAAACATTTTTACAGGAAAACTGCAGAGGTGAAGTTTTTTTTGTTTCCTTACCTTAAGGCTCTAAACTCATGAAAACAATTTATAGGTGCTCTTTTAAAACTCATGTCCTCCCTTAAATGTCACCTATTTAAGCAATGAAATTCTGTTATTTTCTAATGTAGTCCCTATTCTTCCTTAATTGCTTTTTGTCTCTTTCCCCCGTTATAATGTCAGTTTCATAAAGGAGGTGATGCGGTGTGTTTTGTTTACTGTTGTATCCCTGGCATCTAGGAGTGCCTGGCAAACGATAAAGTTTAGGAATTATTTAAGAGCAAATCTCTTTTGAATTGACTTTTAATGAAACAAAAAATCCTGACTACAAGTTCCCATATCAAGAGTTTGGAAAGTTAGCATTTCTTTTTTTTGGGGGGGGTTTGGTCTAAGTGCAAGAGGCCTAATTATTGTGACCCAGTTTCTGGAATAGTTACACCGGGTTTTTAGTACTCTTCTCCTGGACTCCACACACCCCCACTTTTTAACACTGTCTTCCATCAGATATTTTCCAAGCATGGACTCTAGTCTAGTGTCTCTGCTAAGTACTGAAGACAAAAGGTGAAGGAGACAAAATCCATGTCTTTGAAGAGTATATGTTTTAGTAAGTGAAGCAGACACTAAAGAGTCGTAGCCATGATGAACAGAGTACTCATGAGCATATATCTGGGACAGGCTTATCCAGTAGGATTCGTCTCAGCTCTGGGCAAGGCCTAAGGAATCTGACAGGTGACTTAATACCGCATAGACTTACAGTCTGAAAATGAGGTAGTGACAAAATAGACATTCTCATTAGTATGAGCCATTCTCTGAGTCTAAGGAGAGTAAGTGATTCAAATCAGAATTTGTCATTTTGGAGTTTGGGTTAAGGGCCAAGAAGTGAAAAACTAAGAACCTATTTAATTCTTATTCAGTTTATATATTCATATAACCTGCTTATTTCAAGAGACCTAGTTTATTATTAATTGTGTTGATTACCATCTATAATAATATTTCATTTTAATCAGGCTCTGTGAAATGGTCTCTTTTTTTAAAATTTGTAAATAAAGATACATATTGGAAAATAAAACGTTCCTGAATCTAAGCTTGTACTCTTTTTATTCCTCTTAAAGTGGTGTCAATATCAAAATGCCAATCAACTCCAGTGGACCTGATTGGGTGACCGTGATGCCCAGGAGAATAAAAGGTAAAGAGGAACGAGCTCGATAATTTGTCGTTTTTTTTGCTAAGTGGGTTGAGGCTGTGTTGTTTTACTGATGTTACAAAACCCTTCCGCCCCCCCCCCTTTTAATATGCCATATTTACTTCTGGCCACAAGTGAAAATACTAAAGAGCTTTTAGATTAAAATAAATCAGTTAGACCTTATGTGTATAATCTTGCGTTTTGCTATTTATGCTCATGTAAAAGTTATCTTCTTCCCCCACTACCCTCTTTGTTTAGCTCAAGAGCCTTCAGAGCTATGCTGTCCATTATGGTAGCTATTAGCCACATGGGCTATTTAAATTTAAATTAACTTAAATGAAATAAAATTAAAAATTCAATTCTTTGGGCCGACCAAGTGGCTCAGTTGGTTAAAAGTTAGCTTAAGAGCGTGAGCCCTGAGCAACAGGGCCACTGGTTCAATTCCCACATGGGCCAGTGACGCTGCGCCTGAGCTGAGCTGCCAACAGGTGGCAGGATGGCTCAGCTGGTGAGAGCATGTGCTCCTAACAACAAGATTGCCTGTTCAATGGTGGGCTACCCCTGCCTTCAACTAAGACTGAACTTGGCACCTTGAGCTGAGCTGCCACCTGGAAGGCTCATTGGATAGAGCATGTGCTCTTAACAACAAGGCTGCTGGTTCAACTCCCGCATGGGATGGTGGCCATGCCCACCACAACTAAGACTGAACTCGGCACCTTGAGCTGAGCTGCAGCTGAGCTGGTGAGAGCGTGTGCTCTGAGCAGCAAGGTTGCGGGCTCAACACCCATATGGGATGGTAGGCTATGTGCCTTTCCTCCCTACCCCCCACAACTTGATTGAACATGGCACTTTGCGCTGAGCAGCTGTGAGCTGCTGATGGGTGGCCGGATGGCTCAGTGTGCAACAAGGTTGCTGGTTTGATTTCCACATGGGATGGTGGACTACGCCGCCACCCCCGCTCCCTGCGCAACTAGATTGAAAGCGGCGACTGGGCTTAGAGCTGAGCTGCACCCTCCACAACTAAGATTGAAGGGCAACAACTTGACTTGGAGCTGATGGGTCCTGGAAAAACACAATGTTCTCCTTCCCCAATTTCCCCAACACTGTTCTTCTCCCTAGTTCCCCCCAACAAAAAATAAAAAATAAATGAAAGAATGAAATTCAGAAGAGTAAATGTATGTGTTATAGCTGTGCTGAATAGATATAATTAGCTATAGTGACTTTTAGAAAGAAAGGATGAACATTTTTACAGAGGCTTATGCAGACGGTGGGCAATTGCTTCTTGGTCTTTTGGCTAAGATCAAGTGCAGATGGAAGCAAGATTCATTTAGCTGTTGAAAGCATACGAGGTGTGATCAAACAATATAGTGAATTAAAAAAAAATTACAGTAAAAGACACATGGTCATTAATCCCCCCAAAATACTCCCCTTCAGGGTGACCGGTAAGCTCAGTTGGTTAGAGCATGGTGTTGATAACGCCAAGGGTGCCGGTTTGATCCCCACATGGGCCACTGTGAGCTGTGTCCTCCTTAAAAAAGAGTCAACTATGCCATTGTAGCATGAAATCAATGTGTAACCAGTGACCATGGCTGTTCCCCAATAAAATAAAATAAAAAATACTCCCCTTCTAACACACTTATCCCATCATTCTTGCCACTTTCTGAAGCAGTTCTGGAAGTCCTCTTTCAAGTCTTTAGTTGCGCTGTCGTAGCTGCCTCGATGTCCTGAATCATTTTGACTTTGGGGAAGAGCCAGAAGTCGCATGGTGCCAGATCTGATAAATAAGGTGGATGAGGCCACACCGTAATGTTTTTATGACAGAAATTGATGTATCAGAAGTGGTGTGACACAGAACGTTATCGTGATGGAGGGTGATATATAGCACACTTTGAAACATACCTTCTCTCAACCGTAGCTTACGCCTGACTAGCTGCATCGAACAAGTCGAAACTTGTCACACACTGTTACTAAGGTTCAATGCACCACTTCCCATATTGAAGATCCCTGCCTTTCCGTTGGATGGCACTCAGCAGCAGCATTCACCATATTTTGTGATCACAACAGAAAGGCTCTATGTCACACATCACTTCTGGTACGGCAATTGCTTTCAAATAAAAACATGGTTTGGCCTCATCTACCGTATTTACCATATCTGGCACCATGTGACTTCTGGCTTTTCCCCAGTCAAAATGAACATGAAAGGTAAACGTTTTGAATCAATTCAGGACATCAAGGCAGCCAGGACAGCGCAACTAAAGACACTTACAGGGCGGCCGGTTAGTGCAGTTGGTTAGAGCACAGTGCTCATAACACCAAGGTTGCTGGTTTGATCCCCACATGGGCCAAAAAGACACTTCACGAAAGAGGACTTCCAGAACTGCTTCAGAAAAGTGGTAACAACGATGGGATAAGTATGTTCAAAGTGAAGGGGAGTATTTTGAGGGCGATTAATGGCAATGTGTCTTTAAGTGTAATCAATTTTTTTATGTAAACATTCACCGTATTTTTTGATCACCCCTTGTGTGTGTAGTATCGCACACAGCCCGTGTTGCAAGCACTATTGCCAAAGGGACTAGGTATATAATGCACATGAACCTAGCAGGGTGGGTATTAGCCACATGCATGCCTTTTGTGAGTGGTGGGAAGGAACTGAAGAGCAGAGACCTTCTAAAGGGGGCAGCCTTTGTTCACTTCGTGCTGCATTATTGCCATGCAGAAATGTAGACCCAGTTCAGCAAGATCTACAGATTTTGTTTTCCCATGAAATCCAGAAATCTTAGATTTTAAATGTGAAATCTCCAGATTTCAAAAAATTGACATCCAATTCAAAACTTTTAAAGTACTGTGTGGGCTAAATAAAATTTGTGTATGGCCCAGATGCAGGCAGAACACTGCCAGTCTCCATTATCATGTGCCACAAGAAATCCCAATCCTTTCCTAATGAAGAGCTGTATTTGATTTACTTGAACCCAGTGAGTTACTAATTTTAGAGGATATTCATATGAAACATAACTAATGGAAATTATTAATCTTTTATCTGATTGGCCCTCAACCCCACAGCCAAGGTGTTAGTAGACACGGTATCCCCCAGTAGTACTGCATTCCTCACCCTTTCTCATGTCTGATACCTCAGGAGGCCCTGTCCCACTACATCTATCTTTCTCTCCCACCTCCCCAGTTGTCTGGCTTGCCCTTCTTGTGATGTCTCTGGATGTTTAGTGGGGTGGTCAGTGAGAGGAGCTTTGGATGGTTTATCTGCACCAGACAGGCCTTGAGTCTCATCGAGGAAGTGGTTGAGGGTTTGTGATGCACTATTGTGTTTAGAGAGAAGGCAGATTCAGTAATGAGTGAGGTTTTTGATGGAATTTTAGAGGAAGAATGAAGCTATGAGTCAGTGGGAGAAAAATAGCCTGGCTTTGAGAAAGCCACCTCAGAGCAGGCACTGTACACAACTGGAAAGAAAATGGCAATTGCTTTATATAATATCAAAGAAGCCCAGCTTGGCAGAACGTCACTGAAGTTCACCTTAGTGACCAGCAGGGGGCACTCAAAGACCCTAAACGAGGGACCTCATACCCTCCCTCCACTTTGTTACTTCCTTCTCTTTAAAAATTTTTTTTTGTTTTCGGATAATTTTAGACTTAAAGAAGAGTTGCAGAAATAGTACAGAGTTCCCGTATAGCCTTCATCCAGCTTCCCCTTATGCTAACATCTTATGTAATCACAGACCACTTATCAAAACTAGGAATTTAACATCAGTACAATATTATTCACCAAACTATAGAATTTATTTGGATTTCATCAGTTTTTCTACTAATGGCCTATTTCTGTTTCAGAATCCAGCGTAGGAGCCCACATTGCATTTAGTCTCCCTATTCCCTTAGCCTTCCCTCTGTGACAGTTCCTCAGTCTTTCATTATCTTCCATGACCTTGACACTTTTGAAGAGCATTGGTTAGATGTTTTATGGAATGTCTCTAAATTTGGGTTTTTCTAATGTTTTCTTGTGATTAGAATGAGGTTATGCATTTTTGGAAAGAATAGCACAGAAATGTGTCCTTTTAAGGGGTAGGTACGTGTTGTCAATATGCATTTATAATGATGTTAACCTTGATCACTTGGTTAAAGTGGTGTCTGCTGGGGTTCTCCACTATAAACTTATTTTATTTTTGTATTTACTCAGTATTCTGGGGAGATACTTTGAGACACTGGTAAGCTGAATAATGCATCAACCCTCCCAAGATACCCAGATCTTAATTCCTCAAATTTGTGAATGTTACCTTATATGGCAAAATAACCTTTGCATATGCCATTAAGTTAAGGGTTTTGAGATGAGAAGAGATTATCTGGGTTCTCTGAGTGGATCATAAATGCAATCACAAGTGTCCTTTTAAGAGGGAGTCAGAGGGAGATTTCATACAGAAGACAGAAGGCAACATGAAGATAGAAGCAGAGAGAGATTTGAAGATGCCATGCTGTTGGGTTTAAAAATGGAGAAAGGGGCCATGAGCTATAGAATACAGCTCTAGAAAAGGCAAGGAAACAATTTTTTTCCTAAATCCTCCAGGGAGAGCAAAACACTTTGGTTTTGGCCCAGTGATACTGATTTTGAACTTCTGGGCTCCAGAACTGTAAGAGAATCAATTTATGTTGCTTTAAGCCACTGAATTTGTGGCACTTTGTTATTGCAGCCACAGGAAACGAATACAGACATTATGTAAACATTCTGTTTCTGCTTACATTTTCACCTGCTAATTTTAACATTCTTCAGTAGATCTTGCCTACAGAAATTATTTCTGTGGTGTTCTAATGGTGAATTGCTATATGTCTCATTCTTAAGATATATGTTAATTGGAATTTTTCTGTAAGGAAGAGTTGTCCCTTTCCCCCCCCCCGCCCCATTTATTTTATTATCAGTATGGACTTAAGATTATTTCATTCTTTAGGTTATAATCCAATTCCATCTTTTTTGTTGTTATTCCAATTATTTCAGTTTTGGCAATT